AATATATATATATATATATCACGGTAACTCATGTCACTTCTGAAATTCGAATTGCGTCACCTTGTGCTGCAGTTGGAGACTTTACGACTGAGCTCTTCAGGCTTGCGATTAACCTCCTGTAGGATGGTATTGGATACTTTTGAGGTCTTTTATCTTCTTCTTACCTAAGATGGTTATGATTTAGGATTTTAGGACTGTTGCATAATATCCTGTGGCAATGTAATTATTTGCTTTGTAAACATATTTCTTAAGCTTAAACCAGAGAATAAGAATTAGCTGTTGGTATCAAGATATCTTTGCCTATTTTGAATATTCACCTAATTCAGCTGATGTATGTTTCCTCCATGAGAAAGATAAGTTCATGAACGTTAAATCTCTCACAACGTAAATCCAGAGAAGGAGAATGAAAATTTTCTTTAATTCTGATCTTTTCAGTGCATTTATTTCACATATCAGTTTATGATTGAAATTTAACACTGTTAAGACGTGACAGATATCCTACTTTAGTTTTCAGGTCAACTTATGATGATTCCCTACATCGCACAAACGCATTATTAATCTAGTACAGTGATATATTACACATTGATATTTTCTACTATTGGTTTCAAAATTCACTGGGACTCTAATCGAACAAGTGAACTTATACGCTTGACACGAATATACTTTAATAACTGTCGTTTCTGTTTTCGACATAGAACTTTGCACATATGTGGGGCAGTTCAAGTCGCCACACTCCATGTAGCATAAAAAGCAAGAGAAGAAAGTACAAGAAAAGCATAATAAAGACAGTAAGCAGAGGTGTGAGACAAAAGAATAGTAATAACGAAGAACAAAACAGATTCATTGGAAATCATAAGTCACAAGGAGTGGATGCATCTGCGCCAGCCATTGAGAACGATTTTGAGCCATATCACCAAATGTTTCCAGTCACTGATTTTTTAACGTCCCGAGGACCCCAACCAGGAAGTCTACACCCTTCTACGTGGCTGGCTTAAACTAACTGTTGTGGATTTCATTGACTGGTACCATGTTTTTGGTTTGACCGCCGCTAGCTCTTTTCCAGCCTGATCCTGTGTCAGCCAGCTAACACATGTTCTAACCATCTCGGTCGATGTAATTTCATAGCCTCGTCGACTGATTTCCCCTCCTTACCTAGCACTCGACTGACGCCTAACCTCAATATTGCTCACCTTATTATACCACTTCACACGGGAGATAGAGCGCAGGCACCTATGATGAAAGACAGCTAATCCTTTCCTGTCTTCCACTTTCAATGGCCACGTCTCACTCACAGCCATAAAGGAGGACGGAGCGGACTGATGACCAGTACACACGCCCTTTGGTCGACAGCCAGCTAGCCGGATATCACGTCTACACCAGAGACGGCGTAAACTGGCATATGCGAAACTAGCCCTCTGTATGCGTGCTGAGATTTAGTCAGATATCAACCCGTTGGCACTGGCTGATGGTACTTCCCAAATGAGTGAAGTGGTCAACGTGCTCTACCACTTCACTTCTTATTTCTAATCTAGGAGTCAGTGTAGTCCAGTTCTGTAACATCATCTTGCATTTGGCGGGAGTGAATCGCATGCCAAACATTCGTAGATCGCAGCTCAAGATGTTCAGAAGATTCTGTATTTTGTCAGCGTCTTCACCCAGGAGGACTATATCATCAACATATTCTAAGTCAACGAGATTATTCCTGATGGTAACAAGTCAGTCCCTGAGTCGCTGAAGTGACTTAGGGTTAAGTCTATCAGTACATCTATGATGAAGTTGAATAGAAATGGGGATAATGGGCATCCTGACTGACACCACTAGCTGTCACCACTTCAGCTGACAACTCGCTGTAAGCCTTCACCTGGCTGGCTGCTTCAACTCGAGTAGAGTGCCTTAATCAGTGCAATGTATTTTCTCGGAATTCCCTTTACAGCCAAGCATCATCAGAGTAACTCTCGGTCGACAAAATCGAATTCCGCCTTTAGGTAAAGAAATATAATGATTGTTGGACGCCGGTAGGAATGTCGAAGGGTGTGCAGGATTAGTTTTGCCTACAGATTTAGTCCGTCCTCAGTACTGACGACACAGAGTCTTAGCTTAACTATAGTTAAAAACAGAGTAACTTGACTTAAACTTTATCTGTTTCTAAAACATAAAATAAAGCGTACAATTACACCAAGAAAGGCACAAATCCATTGTAACTCAAGAAAGGACAAAAACACATACAGAACAGTATTGAAGGAACAGACAAAATGAACAGTTAATTATATATACACACCACAGAGTGACAGGAAATAAACAACATTCAAGGTCACATCACGTGGTGAGAGTTACAGTAAATTAGCCAATAATCGCGACAAAGGGTCACATATATCGATTAGCCGTCCGTCAATCTATCTATCTACGCGATTAACAGGATGGAGATATGATCGATACACCCTCTTCCTGGTCTAAAGCCTGTCTGGCTTCTCGTGTCGTTTCTGAGCTGTTGAGACTATTAAGAGAAATAAATGAACACAATTCCCTGCACTGAAATGTATTGTTATAAATAGTGTACCAGCATCATAACCAGATAGTGCATTTCAACCACTTCCTGGTCGAGTGTGCCACTTTCCTTTCAGTGGCCATATAATGTCCAAGTCTATGGCTGTTTTACACTATTTAATTTAAGGTCAGCTATTTCAACAGCTGCTGAGTAATCTAAATACGGATAATCAGTTGTTTACAGTCATATATTTAGTACACAAAGAGGCTCTGTAAGCCTTTAGTTTTTTATGTTTATGTACTGGTGCTTGTCTAGGTGAAAGGAAACTACGCAAAGTATTTCGTTAAGATCTCATGCATAAGGTCAAAGAAACAACGCTAACGACAGTAAGGCATTGTTAGCCAATGATCAAACTTGTTTTTTGTTGAAACTACTTTCGTAAGCGAATGTTGCAGGTGGAAAGCTTAACAATGTGTCGTTTCAAAATAACATAGCACAGAATAACTGCTTTACACAGGCATTGGGTATAAATTCAAAAACACTACAAACATACTATAGTTTCAAATAATGGTGAACAGTTGAGCAGAATGCAGAGATGAAAATGGTAATAATTGAATGACATAACCATTATTAAATGAATGAATGCAAGCCTCACTCATATATTAGAACAGACAGTGCTTTGGAATTTTCATTGAAATAGTTTGGCACCATTTTGTAAAAATTAAGGAACTATGGTGTGCAGTGTACTCAATTCGACTTCACTAGAGTTACAAGGCACATGCAGAGTTTCAGGAAAGCATGTTATCAGAACAACTAGATTAAAAAAAACAAAGTCGCAACAAACTGTAATGATTGACTAACTGACTAATTTTCGACATAAATCTTTGCACAGAAGTGCGGCTATTCAATTTGGTACACTCCATATATCACACAAAGGTAGATAAAAACATTCAAATGAAATGTGATGAACAGAAATGTGCAAGGAGGAATAAGAAACATGTGGATTTAGAGAATCTGGACGATCATAAAGAGTACCGTTTTGAGCCATACAACCAAAAGTCTCCAGCCAATGGTTCTTAGTATCTCGAGGACCCCGACTAGGGCAGCCTACACTTCCCCAAGTTGGTCAAAGACTTCATGGATTGACGCCAGGTCGCGGTTTGACTATCTCTAAATCTTTTCCAGCTTAATCCTTTATAACCTTACATTGCTGGTCGAGGAAAGTGGTGGCTTGGTATGCTCTACAGGTGATCTAGTCACCTAGACTGATGTAGTTTCTGAACTCAGAACTGCTGAACATGTTGTACCACTCAATACAGAACATAGGATGCAAACACCTCTGTCTAGACATTGAGTTACAAATAGAAGGGTTTAAAAAGTGGTCTTATTATTGTTTTTCCTCAGTGGGACATATATCTTCTTGGTTCTCCACCATGACTTCCAGCCGGCTCCAGGATTTTCCACAACCTCTCATTTCCCCCTTCTCATGACCTCTTGCCAGTCACTGTCGGTCGCCAGACTCGTCACTTATAAATCCGGTGCCATTCGAGGGCTTACTTGGCGCATAATGCCAATTAAATTGCACCTTAAATTTTATCCAATCCATCTTCATTCCCTCTGCATATTTATTGGGCGGTAGGTTCTTGGTTAGTTCGCTGCCAGAGTTCCTTGTCGCTTATACTTCCCTTTTGGCCATCTGATTTTCAGTACCAAGAGAAGAAAGCTGATGATGAAAGACTACAGTAACCTGTTGAATGTGCTCTTTATATTATTTGCGCCAGGTCTTTGAACAATACCGAAGCAGTGTTTTAAAACCAGTGTGAAATTAGGATTATGTTACTTCAACTAAGTACTTTGAATCTCCACACTGATTTAAAGCAATGAGCGCTTGTCTTGCTTTCCCCTCCGATCCTGGCTGTCTTTGACATCTTCATCTTTACTAAATTTAGCTGAAACGATGCTACCTAGGTAAGTAAGCAAAAGAGAAAACTTCCTGTAGATTTCTCCCGTTGAGGTACTGCACTCAGTAGAGTTAAAGCAGTTTCCAAATAACTTAGCAGTGGGTGTCTTTCCAGAGTCAGTGAATTTCAGCTCAACAGTAAAAGGTGATCTTAATGATCTTATTTGCATCTAAGAAGCATGCAAGTGAATCATTTCTTCAGTTTAAAAATGTAATTAAACTTCATCTAACATAGAGCATTCCACTTTTTATTTGTTACATTCATTAAATTTATCGCCAGTCATATATTAATCCACTTACAATAATTAAGAAGCGACAATTTTAATCTGCATTAAACGTATAATTGGTATACTCACTGACTGCCTTCTTGTGACACTTATTTTTAGATGAAGTAGGATTAGTTTAATTGAATTTGAGATTTTCCCGTTGATTGATTGGACTGAAATTCTTGGTCTCAGGTTGGCTCACATGGCCCAAGTGGTCTAGTGGATAACGTTTTGGCGTTTGAAACTATGGGTACTGGGTTTGAGCCTCGGTGGGAACATTATCACTCACTGAGAAACGCAGGTGCATCCAGTGACGAGTCCCAAATAGGACGAAATGTGCATCCTGGATTCTACTGCTAGTCACCATCCACCATTTAGAAGTAGGATTAGGTTGGAAAAATGTTTTCTGTAGTCAAACCAAAAATAACATCTGTTCATGAAGTAATTGTGAGCTCAAAATGTGTACATGGCCTGTTCAAGACTTCTGATAACATGATCTGAAATCATCCATTCTCATTAAGCCAGACTTACTTTGATCTACAGGATTTCATCATGAGCTGACATCATTTAGAGAACCATTGGAAAACCTGGGAGTACTGGACAACTGTTTCGTCCTTGTTTGAGACTCTTCAGCAGTACGCACCCACCGGGATTCGAACCCAGGACCTTCCTGTTACAAGGCGAGCCCGTATACCATTGAGCCACTGGGACCCGATCCAATGGCCAGTTCATGAATTCTAACTTCTGCCAATTCACGACATAGCGCGACCACTAGCCAATGTCTTCGGCGAGTATTTGTCCTCACACCCTACTGGTCACGACTTCCACTGGAACCCAGGTAAATACCTACCTGAATAGGGCCAGTAGCCAGCGAGCATCTCATTGATATTTAAGTGTTGGTTTGTAGGGATTTGATTGGTGTACAGGATTTCATCATGAACTTAATGGTACACGAGCTCGCCCTGTAACCAGAAGGTCATGGGTTCGAACCCTGGCGGTGGGTGTGTGCTGATGAAGAGTCCCAAACTAGGATGAAACAGCTGTCTAGTACTCCCAGGTTTTCCAATGGTTCTTTAACTAATGTCAGCTCTTGATGAAATCCTGTAAACCAATCAAATCCCTACAAACCAACACTTGAATATTACTTTGATCTGAATATTACTCTTTCCTTCTTTTTCGTGAGTTTACCCATTATAACTCTAGAGGTTCATTCAATCCCCTTCATTTTTTGAAAATAAAAGCAAAACACAGATTTATATAGCAGTCGATCACTTATATTATTACTCTGACAAATGGATGTGATATATAACAGTGATCGAACTGTACTGAGGTATGTATGGAATTGTACAAAATCATCGTTACTTTACTTACTATTAATACGAACAATCGTAATAATAGTAGAACGATAATATAAGCTCTTATACATATAATTGTAATAGCATAAAAGTTCAAAGTTCGTAGAAGGATGATAATTTACACAAGAGATGAAAAACCTTTTTTTTCATTGTTTTGTTGCTGTTTTGTTTATTTTTCTTTTCTAAAAAACAAATGCTAAGCCCTTATTATTATTCTATTTCACCATCTTCTCCTAGAATTATACTATCAAAGCCAACTTCTTCATAGTCTTTTTCTAAAGCTGCTAGATCTTCACGTGCTTCAGCGAATTCACCTTCTTCCATACCTTCACTAATATACCAATGTACAAATGATCTTTTTGAATATAAAAGATCAAATTTTGATTTAATCGAACCCATGCTTCAGCTATTGCTGTTGTATTGCTTATCATGCATAAGGCACGATTTACTTTGGCTAAATCACCACCAGGTACAATTGTTGGCGGTTGAAAATTAATTCCAACTTTAAAACCAGTTGGACACCAGTCAACAAATTGTATTGTTCTTCGTGATTTTAATGAGGCTATTGCTGCATGAATATCTTGCGGTATAATATCACCTCTGTATAGCAAACAACATGCCATATATTTTCCATGTCGTGGATCACATTTTACCAATTGATTTGACGGTTCAAAGCATGAATTAGTTAGTTCAGAAACGCTTAAACGTTCATGATAAGCTTTTTCTGGAGAAATAGTCGGTGCATATGCGGCAACAGGATAATGAATTCTTGGATATGGTACTAAATTTGTTTGAAATTCAGTAAGATCTACATTTTGACAACCATCAAATCTAAGAGCAGCTGTTACTGCGCTAACAACTTGTGCAATTAAACGATTTACATTTGTGTAAGTAGGTCTTTCAATGTCTAAATTTCGCCTTTTAGGAAAGATTGATGAAAAAATCATTTGTATTTTGTGAATTAAATATAATACAAATACTTACCGATAGACATCGTATAAGGCTTCATTGTCTACCATAAATGCACAGTCAGTTAGCTCTAGAGTAGTATGTGTGTTCAATACGGAGTTGTATGGTTCAACGACAGCTGTAGATATTTGTGGTGAAGGATATATTGAGAATTCAAGCTTAGTTTTCTTCCCATAGTCAACAGTTAATCTTTCCATTAAAAGTGCTGTATACCCTGAACCAGTACCACCACCATAAGAATGAAATATTAAAAATCCTTGTAATCCATTACAGTGATCGGCAATCTTTCTTATCCGATCAAGTGTATAGTCAATAATATCTTTACCGATAGTATAATGACCACGTGCATAATTATTAGCTGCATCTTCTCTTCCAGATATCAGTTGATGAGGGTGAAATAATTGCTTATACATACCAGTTCTTATTTCATCTAATACAGTAGGCTCTAAATCTACCATAACTGCACGTGGAATAAGTTTTCCAGATCCAGTTTCATAAAAAAATGTATTGAATGAATCATCAGCACTCCCATCCACATGATCTTTTAGCATACAACCATTCGGTTGAATTCCATGTTCTAAACAATATAGTTCCCAACATGCATTTCCAATTTGTACACCTGATTGACCAATATGTAAACTAATACATTCACGCTGAATTAAATGCGAAAAAAGTTGTTATAATATTTGAAAAGATGTAAACATAAATCAGTAGAACTGATAAGTTTATAAACTTACTAACCATTTTATTAGTATGAAAACAATACTTGGTTTATATAATCTGTAGTTCCAGACAATTATTATTAGCCTTACTATATTGCATAAAATTTCAAATGTGTATTGATCACAACCACTTGTAATAAAGACATAGAATAGCTGTGATTGGTCGAATGCTTTCTAACTATATAAATCAGCAAAAAAGTGAAGTAATCATAAGTAATAATGCAGGTATTTCTATTTTATGTAACGATATAATTAATAATTACTATTATACGATTGAAACAGATGGATAAATTAGTCACTAGGATAGATGTTACTATCAGATCCATTACACAGTGCTGAGACATGTACTGAGTTTGAACAGGTTATTGGCACTTTAGTTGACCTACTTTGGAACAGGCTGGGTTAGAAGACTTTTAGAATGACAAGTGTTGGGCTAGGTAGAATTGACTGCATCATAAAAGTAATAAAAATGATCAAAATCTATATATGTTGAGAAAGAATAGGCTGTTAACCTTCAATCGAAAGTTTAAAGTAAGTAATTTTTCCAGATTAAAGTTGGATATTATTATTGTTTTAACCTTTAATTCCTAGAGGAACATAGAGCTTTAGCCGTGCGTCTCCACTGCGTTCGGCTTTCTGCCAACTTTTTCACCCTGCTCCAAGTCTTCCCACATGCTTTCATCTCCTCTTCACATGACCTCCTCCAAGTCACCCTTGGACGACCAAAAAGTTGGATATTAAACAATTAAAACTGTAAGTTGGATAACTAACTTCAAAACGTAGAAAATTTAATATTTTCATCACATTGAATGCAAGTTCGTAAGAACGGATGTAAAATTTTCAGCTGTTGACTAGCTACTATTTATGTGGTTCAGCAATAAGCTTTCTATTATTTTTTTCTACAAATTCTGTGATTACTCAGATATCACATCATACAACTGCCATGTCGCTTCGAACTACTCATAATTATTTTAATTAATTCTAGCTATTTGGAATGTCCACTATGTGCCGCATCACATAACTCAACTTCCCACAGTTCATCTCTGTTACTTGGATTTACCGCCTTCAATATTAACACTTTGGTCTAGATAGGAAATCAGTCATTCTTGGTGAACATTCTGAAAATATTAATGCTGGTATACAATGCATCTCAAAAAGTTACAGTTTACTATTCGTCATGTTTCCTATTTTCGAAAAGGATATTCGTGTTCCCATTATAAGGCGTGAACGTACACTCACAAACTAAAGATTCCGAATATGCAATTCTTGACGCTTATTGTTTAACGGATGCCTACTTGTTTCAGTGAGGTTGCTGGATTCAAAACTAACATTTAAGGAGCAACTAAATGAAAGGAAAAAGGCATGAGCAATAATTAGTAAGGTTCAGCTATTTAGACTCAATAAAGACACAAGTTCATATAAAACTATGGTAAATGAAACGATATGACGAAATAATAAAACACTGGCTAATTCTCTGAAAAGACGGAAGAAACATGTGAGGAGCAGTTAACCTGGCTTCCAGCTTCCTGAAATCAACCAAATCCCTACAAACCAACACTTAAATATCAATGAGATGCTCGCTGGCTACTGGCCCTATTCAGGTAGGTAGTTACCTGGGTTCCAGTGAAAAGTCGTGACCAGTAGGGTGCAACGGGTCGGGTGTGAGGACAAATACTCGCCGAAGACATTGGCTAGTGGTCGCGCTATGTCGTGAATTGGCAGAAGTTAGAATTCATGAACTGGCCATTGGATCGGGTCCCAGTGGCTCAATGGTATACGGGCTCGCCTTGTAACAGGAAGGTCCTGGGTTCGAATCCCGGTGGGTGCGTACTGCTGAAGAGTCTCAAACAAGGACGAAACAGTTGTCCAGTACTCCCAGGTTTTCCAATGGTTCTCTAAATGATGTCAGCTCATGATGAAATCCTGAAATCAACCAAATCCCTACAAACCAACACTTAAATAAACTGTAATTATTCACCACTTTACCTAAGTTTGAGCAAAGAAAGAACAAACATTAGTACAGAATAACATGGATCCATTTTATTTCGTTGGTTCTCATCACCTACATATAACCTATAGTCTTTAATAAATAAATAATAATAATAAATAGGTAAATAAAAGTTGGCGTAAAATTTAACATACTTTTGCCATCAACAAGCATATTATGAGTGTCATCGTGAAGTAAAACATCAGGATAACAAGGTAGCTGACGTGTAAGAGAGAGAAAGGAAATTTTCTAGAAAATTAACTGACAAGTTTTCTGTTAGGGTGGTTATGGTTACAAAAAACTAGTAACAATTACATAGCTAGATAAGAGAAGATCGAAATTTGGTGTGGAAGAGGTCAGATGAAAAGGTGATGATGTAATATAGCGAGTCAAGAAAAGTGATCTCTTATGGAAGTCAAATAAGAAACGAGGTGATGGGGGCGTTGAAAAGATAAGTTAATGATGTTAGAAGAGCAAGAGTGACCAACGGATGTCATCAGGGTAATTGGAGTACAACGACAGATTCCTTTAGGACACGTAGGCCAAATTTCAGCCATTTTATTGTGAAAGCCTCAGCAAAATGAAGAAGACTTGAGCTGATTTGTCTGTTAATTATTTTGAATGATCGCAGTGTGTCTACTCAGTGTCTATCAGGCGTTTGGTAGCTGAAGAGCTTAAACTACTTGGCCCCTTTAACCGGAAGCTCATTGGTACATGTTCGAAGAATCTGACGTAGGCTCTTCTTTCTGCTCTTCCAATGTAACTGCTCCCGCAGATAAATGTGAATTGGTACATACAGTTAGAGGTAACATATGAGGGGTACCTGTCGACCTTTGACTGCACCAACGGGGAAGATACTTGGAGCAAAGGGACTAGTTTATTTTACTCACTTAACCTTAGGTTGAACGAGATACAGGTATCGAATGTCCGAATTTGAGTTAAGCCTACCAAATCTGAAACCAGTCACGACAGCAGGGCCTGATGCTTTGATACAGAAGTGTTTAAAAATATTGGCAATGAATTAATGGCTAGACTAACTGAGATACTCGTTTTGGTGTATGGAAATCCCACATAGTCCCACTACATCAATGATCATTCCGATTGGCCAGAATAGAGGGAACCGATTAAATTACTACAGCATCTGACCTTCTAGACTCCATATTTCTACGAAGACTAAGTAGGGCTCGGGGAAAACAGCTTTGATAAAGCCGGGAAATTGTCATCCATAAGTAAGGGATACTCTGTTCCCAATGGGTTATAACCACGGGTACTACAAGACACACTATATGTCATGTTTCTTGATGTGAAGGAGGAATCCGACTCCGTCCACTGAGTTTTGTAGTAGCATTGTGTAGGTAATGCGGAGGAAGTATACATTTGTAAGCAATGAACCCCATCCGAACTCATGCAACTATGTAACTGACTATGGAGAGATATCACCTGAAGTGACGACAACCAGTAGTGTCCTTTACGCACGTTCAGTATCATCGCCTCCATTTAATTTTATCGTGAATGCATTTATGAATACAACTTAAACATGTTAGCTGAAAGAGGTTTCGTTAGTTTATATTATGCAGATGATGAATACGCTGACAGAATCCAACCTTCTAAACTCTCCGAGGATATTTTTCATAGAGTTTGCCTTTTACAAATCTAACATTATGTTACACAACTGGTCTGCATCAACTCTTGGTTTAAAAACACGAAATGGAAAAGCTCAATATATCGACCATTTTACTTATGAAATTACATCAGTGTGAGTTCACCACAGGGATACAATTCATTTCTTTATGCGAATTATCCACTGTTCTCTGAGCTTTGATATTGCATCATATCTAATATTCCATACAAGATTGTGTGAAGTCTTTAGCACTAACTTTGATAATAACATCCGTGAATAAGTGTCACGGGTCAGAAAACTCTAAGCAATTTTCACCAACGTACTAAAGTACCAGTCTTTTTCTGAAGTCGATGTTAATTAATTGTCAGACCCATAGAAGCAATTTTCACCAACGTACTAAAGTACCAGTCTTTTTCTGAAGTCGATGTTAATTAATTGTCAGACCCATAGAAGCAAATCGACACCACTAATTACTTATTACTCTTAAAACTAATACCCAAAGATCACCACCACTCACCATTGAAACGGTGGAAGACGAAAGACTTGGTTAGGGGAATGTTTATTTTGAAACTGGCATCTCCATATAGCCAAATTATGTATACTTTATCTTCAACTCACCATTTGCACAGATCGTCGTGTTGTGGTACTTCGGACTTCATATTGTTTCTTTATGTTCCTTTCACGTCTCCCACATATCTCCATGACGCTCCATCATTTGCCCCCTCTGGAATCAAATGTACCTTCCTGCCATTTGATGTTTAATGCGGATGAATATATCTTTATATACTACTGATGAATGTTGTCAGTAGCACTCGCCACACCATGACTTATCCCGTATTGTGCCTCATTTCTGTACATTACCATTTGGAAAGAATTAGAAAGTTCCTAGCATAGACTTTACAAATATAATAAACAGCAGTTTCTAAAAGCCTTTCAAATACACGTATTATGGTACCCCTAGATTCTTATCGAATAATTCAACTGAAAGACACGCAAATAACTAAGTCAACAAAGAAAGGAATTTAATACCATTAATACATTTGAACTTTTCTAGGGACTGGTAAACGTCATATATCAACTACTGTTTCAAAAGAATGCCTAATAATAAGCAAGTATGTCTGTTTTAATAAACGCAACCTGCTTATCTGAATTGAGAGACACTAAATTTGATCGTGAGAGCAGAGTCACTTTAGCATACCTCCGAATGAGCAGCTACAACTAACTGGTAGTCGTTGTAACAATAAGAGAAAGTGAGTTAGGAAGACTAATAAGTAGGGCATCATCCACTGTTATATCTGTGCACATAACAAAATCTCTCCAGTTTATTTATAGTTTGAAGTAGTAGAGTAAGAGAAGGAATTGGGTATTTGAAAGTTCCTGTGTTCTTCTTAGAGAAATCAGACGAAAAGAAACATAGAAAGAACAGCTAGCAGAATTTCTGGTTTGGAGTTTGATCTTATCCTTTCTCAGATTGGGGAATACATCAATTGGTGATGTTTGTTTGCCCAGAATAAAACATGTTCATAAGATTAAATTTTATTCGTCAAAGCCATAGTATAACTTCATCCTGACAACCTCACCAACGAGCAAATACGTGTTTTTAAACTCACCTCTCATCAACAGAGAATTCTAGAATGTCAGGATACAGCTAATCAATTAATACGACTGATAAGTAGAATTGGTTACTTCAACAGCATACAAGCTAATGGAAGACAAGTATAACTGTTCACAAAATCAAATAAATCACTGTTACAGTCATTTACCCAAAATTTACGTTTTAAAAGAAAATAATCTTTTAAAAAAAATTATTGACTAGATGAAGAACCTTTTAGTTCTCGAAGGCATGTGCTTTCTTTGCTAATCATTTGTACAATGAACGAAAAGTGGCAAATATAATTAAATGTTCTCAGTATTTCAAGAAGCGATAAGCATATGCAATTGCTAGGTCTCTTAATTACTAGATTTCTTCTAATCTCTTTTCAAAAGAAGTAGTCTAAACCACATTCTTACCGGCGCCCAACAATCATTATATTTCTTTACCTAAAGGCGGAATTCGATTCTGTCGACCGAGAAGTTCTCTGGAGATGCTTGGCTGTAAAGGGAATTCCGAGAAAATACATTGCACTGATTAAGGCAATCTACTCGAATTCAAGCAGCCAGCCAGGTGAAGGCTTACAGAGAGTTGTCAGCTGAAGTGGTGACGACTAGTGGTGTCCGTCAAGGATGCCCATTATCCCCATTTCTACTTAACTTCATCGTAGATGTACTGATGGACTTAACCCTAACTCACTTCAGAGACTCAGGGACTGACTTGTTACCATCAAGGAATCATCTCGTTGACATAGCATATGCAGACGAGGCGAGGACGCTGACGAAATGCAGTCTTCTAAACACATTGAACTGCAATCTACGAATGTTTGGCGTGCGATTCACTCCCACCAAATGCAAGATGATGTTACAGGACTGGACTACGCCGACTCCCAGATTAGAAATAAGAAGTGAAGTGGTAGAGCACGTTGACCACTTCACTCATTTGGGAAGTACCATCAGCCAACGCCAACGGGTTGATATCTGACTAAATCTCAGCACGGATACAGAGGGCTAGTTTTGCATATGCCAGTTTACGCCGTCTCTGGCATATCGACCAAAGGGCGTGTGTACTGGTCATCAGTCCGCTCAGTCCTCCTTTATGGCTGTGAGACCTGGCCATTGAGAGTGGAAGACATGAAAAGATTAGCGCTCTATCTCCCGTGTGAAGTGGTAAAATAGGGTGAGCAATATTGAGGTTAGGCGTCGCAACCTAGGTAAGGAGGGGAAATCAATCGACAAGGCTGTGAAATTACATCGACTGAGATGGTTAGGACATGTGTTACGTATGCCTAGTCATCGCCTTCCTCGACAATGGGCAATGTTAGCTGATATAGGGACAGGCTGGAAAAGAGCTAGCGACGGTCAAACGAAAATATGGCACCAGTCAATGAAATCTACAATAGTTAGTTTAAGCCACGTAGGAAGGTGTAGACTTCCGGGTTGGGGTCCTCAGGACGGTAAAAACCAATGGTTGGAAACAATTGGTGATATGGCTGAAAATCGTTCTCAATGGCTGGCGCAGATGCATCCACTCCTTGTGACTTATGATTTCCAATGAAACTATATTGTTCTTCGTTATTATTATTCCTTTGTCTCACACCTCTGTTTACTGTTTCTAATATGCATTTCTTCTACTTTGTTCTCTGGCTTTGTGTGCTACATCGTGTGGCGACCTGAACTGCCGCACATCGGTGCAAAGTTCTATGTCGAAAACAGACAGAGGTAGAACTGTTTAAGTAATAAAATATCTACTCGTTAATAGACATCGATAGGAAAGCATAATGAAAGCCCATCTTGGATGACAATGACTGGTTTACTGATGAATATGACTTAAATTTATTGGAAGCGATTAAAAATATATTGAAAACTGAATTTATTTGTAATACTGCTTATAAAATTTCTACTGACAGATGAAACGGAACATATAACTCAGGTTCTGCAATTTAACTGGGATGAAGAATAGGTATATTGACTCCCGCATTTATTCTCCAACTATTAGGTCCCGAGTTAGAAACCCACTCCACGTCCTTTAGACTAGGCAGCTAGGTATCACTGTCAGCTCTCACGCTATAAGTTAGAATAACCTTGTATATCAGAAATCTGTATCACTTAGCTGAGTCTTCACTATAGCTTAGTAGGTTTTCTCCACTCTCAGAAAATGCAAACCAATTCATAAATTAGCTAAATAAACTCTTCCATACAAGCCTGAAGATCTACCGACAACAAATGACAAGCTGGCAAAAAAGATAGCAAAGGTAGGACTTCGAGTGAACCTCGAGAAGGACACAGGTGACGACGAGACCTATGCAACAACAAAAACAATAACAACAGGCATCACCAACAGAAGAAATGTGAAGGAAGTCACCTCTTCCATTTATCTAAGCAGCATTGTTTCAATTACAGGTGTTACAGATGGCGATGTCAAAGCCAGCATCGAAAAGTCAAGACAGACATTCGTTAGGCTGAAATCAGTGTGGAAATCTGCTGCACTCAGTATAAGGAACAAGATTACGATTTCCAGCATAATAACAAGTCAGTCAGTGCTTCTATATGGTCCAGACATCCGTGTCACCAAGAACATTTCCAACAAGCTGCAGAATTTCATCAACAAGTGTCTTTATTGTCTTGATAGTGAAGATTATATGGGCAGTCGGAAAGCATACGCAACAGGGAACTCTGGAAACGAGCTAACCAAAAAAACCTATTACCCAACAAACATGCAGTATGAAGTGGAGATGGATTGAACATACGCTGAGGAGACCATCAAATGACGTAGCATGCCAGGCCCTCAAGTGAATCCCGAATGGGGAACCAGTTAGGTGCCCGAGTGTGACATAGAGAGGACCGTATGAGGAGGAAATGAAAGCTTACTCGCAATCGTGGAGGCACTTAAGGAAGACTGCAGAGAACAGGCTGAAATGGAGATGTGCTGCTGAAGTGCCATGTTTCACTTGGATCTCAACGTATTACCAATAAAAAATTAATAATACAGAACCCCCATTTTATCCAAATTTGATCCATTAGTGTATTTAAAATACAAAAATCAATGTACACATTAAATCCCTGTGAAAATGATATATTGTACAGCTGTACAGTAATAAAAAAGGAGTTGTACAAAGTCATTCGCTCATTCTATGTAGACATAAGAACTTTCGGGTACTGATGAAATATTTAACTGGCCTAGATCAGGTGTATTTCTGCATAATCTCTTTGAAGGTACTTTATAATCATCTTTTAATATTCCAGCAGCGTAATCTGCATCTTCCTGTGTGAAAATAAAATGAAGGTAAGTATACAAAATAAACATTTGAATCAGTTAAACAAATGAGAAATCACAATTTCTGAAGCTATACATAATTTTTCAACGATGCAAAATGCAACTAAGCTTTATAAAATTTATTTTAGGTTGACGATTCTGATAACCTTTGTACTACGAATTACATACTTGTTTTACTACAATAAGTCAGGTGATTTTTAACTTGCAAACTAAATTCTTTGAAATGCAAACAGGTTTGCTTTATATTACTGTTTTTAAGAAGAGAAAAAATACTTCGGAAACACACGACATCACAACTAAAAGCACTTCAAAAAGATTGTTGACTCACAGTATCGTTTGTACATAGTAAGTGGCCCATGATTCATATGAACATGTCGAACTGGATAGCAAATATTATAGTGATCATACTTGATAGTTATGTATCGCCCAGTCAGCTGACAACACCCCCTCTCCACCACGTGAGGAATGTGAATTAAAGACTGGATGGACTTCAATAAGTATAAGTGATCAATTTGAACCATACAGTGACTCAAGTTTTCGCTTTAAAAGCACTCACTAATCAATATATATTGAAAGATAGTGTAACAACAGAAGACAAGGGCCGGCAACAGATCGTTTTATTACGGAAATCAACACGTATTTATATATATTTCACATACATTATTATAGCTTATTTAAGCAAACAAACACAGTCCTCTGATCGGTTGTTTCAGGTAACCATCGAAAAGTGGAGCCATCTATCTGTGAATCATATTTGCCCACGTTAAGTTTGCTGTGACTGGTTGTTGAATCAGCCTTGTTCATATTTTCTCACGGTCAATATTATTGACCCAGACACTGACGTAGATTAATGTCTACCAATTGGCTAGCAGCCTGCTCTCACCGTAATAGGACTGTTTCAAACGAATGATATTTAGTGTTCAATGTTTGAAACTAATTTTTCAATTGCTCAGAGTATAATCGAGTTAATTATGCAATATACATGTATCAGTCAATATCACTATAGAATCATAAATGACTGATATAGTATTTAGGAAATCTACAGATTGAATAATTCAGTAGAGCAGCAAAACGGTGTTATGAATTTTGACAAAAACCCAACTAATTTGCATGAATCAACATCCAGCATGAAATATTCAAATCAAACACTGCAGTAGGATAGCATCATTAAGTAACGTTGAAATTTTAATTGAGTCAACCTGATTGAGTCAATCTATCCGCATAAATCGAGTTATCATTAATTTATCCAGCAGAAATGCCCTAGATTCTTGGATATAGAGGTCATAGTAGGAGTTTTCTCTATACGATATTCATAACTCCCCGAAATTTGATTAAACTTTTTTGTTAGAGCATATCTAGTGAGATGGTTATATTAGATTTAAAGCAACTAGTTCCCTTTATGAATTTCGACAACACAATAAGAAGACGTAGTTTATCTGAAACGTGTAATGTATTGGCGCAACGCAGCTCGGACATTCTGATCACACACGTACTTGTCGTACACAGTTTTTATAGAAGGCATGAATAATTTACAATACAGGTCAGATTGTGTACAGGTCAAGGTCACAAATAATGGGTAGGGAGACGGAAAAGGTATGGGTAAGAAAGATGAAGAGAGGAAAAAACAAGGCAAAGAAAGGGTTTGAAAATATTATGAAGTAAATTGGCAGGTTTAAGGTGATAACAAATAGCTTTTGGACACAAAAGAAAGGTTTAAGTCTTTTTATGGCTAAGGCTTCAATGAATTTAAGTATTTGGCCCCACCTTGTTTTATATATCGGCTTAAAGGCATCATTAAAATCAACCTTATGACCCGTCTCTATAATATCCTCCGCTATAAATGATGTTGGACATCTATTTCTCGGGTCACTTGTATCTGGCGATTTCATTTGTTGTTGCAGCCACTTTGGAATGTGTTCTGTAACCCTAACATGCAGAGACCGATATGTCCTCTCTATATACGTGTCTCCACACATACATGTAAATTGATAAACACAGTGGGATATGACACTATCGTTCGGATAATGTGAGGGTTTACAGGATAGCATAGTTCTCGTTTTCTCTATGAAGATAAGTTCAGCTGCATAATAGGTTCTATTAATTGCGGCCTTGGATCTTTATCTAGTGACCAGACTTTGTTGATCACCTCTGAACGGCAAGGATATGTGAACATCTTTTTTTGGGAGCTGATTGGATTGGTTAAGCTCTATGGTTGACACTTCCGTAACGTCTAATAAATCTTAGTGGATAATTGTTATCTAACAATATTTCAGTGAGGTGTTTTCTCTCTTCTTCAATTGTATCAGCGGTACATATACGGTGAACGCGCCTGAACAAACACTTAACCAACGCCTTTTTATACTGTAGTGGAGAGAAACTACGGTAATTTAGATACTTTCCAGTCCATGTTGACTTTCTGTAGACAGATCGTTTTACTGACCCATCTTCTCGGCGGGTTATGAGTACATCTAAAAATGGCAGGCATCCATTATTCTCTTTAACATAAGTTAGCGATAATCTGTTTTGTGCTATGTCGATCTGATTTAGGATTTCGATAGAAATAAAAAAACCGTGTATGACAAGTACGTGTGTGATCAGAATGTCCGAAATGTGTTGCGCCAATACTTTACACATTTCAGATAAACTACGTCTTCTTATTACATTAGATTTACACCAAGTAACTACAATCAAATGCATTGTTGTACTACTTGATAAGTGCAACTGATTTGTGAGTACAATGAATCGGCGTACAGTATATATATATATATATATATATATATATATATATATATATATATATATATATATCAATGTATCCGTCTATCTTTCGAACACCGATGACCGATTTCCAGTATTCTTGTAAAAATAAAACTTGAGTATGAAGAACTATTACCATCACCTGAGGATCAGTGGCTCACATCTTACAGTAATCTAACTTTTAACTTAACCTTCAATCAGCAAACATGACGTCAAAATGAATCTATCAAAATAAGACTCCCTCTCTGGCAGTCGCAACTAATTATGTTCATCATACTAAGTAAACTGAAAACTATACATCTAACAGAACACAATATGTGATGAAAAACGATAAAATTAAGCTTCATGTGTACAAATGAAATAATTAAATTGAGCATACTTGTGTATGTGGTGGTTCATTCAGTGATTTCAGTCTCCGCTTATGAGGTTTCTGTTTTTTGTGTAAATCAAGAGTTTCTTGGTCAATAAAATATTTATCACAAAAAATGCAGAAAAATTGACCTAAACCAGGTCTATCTTCATCTGGTTCCATAGCCTCATTCATACGTTTAGTAATATTTTCCTCTTTTAGATCGGTGCATATCTAAGGAGAAAAACCACATAAGCATTATACATGATGAATACAAGGAGTACAAAACCAAACCGCGAATGTATGAACAGATAGAAAATTCATCGGTAAATAGAAGATTTAAAGATGTTATACAAGCCTTGTCAGGTTTACTAACCGGTTCCAAGCTAGGAAAAAGGGGGAAGGTTGGGTGTAGAGAGCGCTAAGCCCTCTAATAGGACCTGAATGGGAAACCAGCTGGTCATTCAATAGTGACATGAAAGAGATCGTGAGGGGCGATGAATACTCATAGCCAATCGTACAGCCAGTTAAAGGTGAATACAGAGAACAGGATGAAGATGCTCTGTTGAAGCAGTTCCTATAGGGTACATGGGCTCCAGAATCCAATAGGATGAAATGACGTATGAGACTGTATTGGTCTCCCGCAACCATGGGGAGGTAACTCCTAACGTCTATCCGCTGCTTAGACTCCAAGTCAAAGGTACGACGGGTGGTCCCTTAAGACAACCATCTAATTCGGTCTGGGCGCCCAGGCAGTAATGTCAGCCCTCACATAATGGAATGGAACAACGAACTTCCGGCAAACTATCTGCATGCTGATTACAACGCTCTCGAACATTAATGATGTTTCAAGTGATGCATTTCCTTTTAACCCTACTTTTATACTTAAGCTTTTGTGTTTATTTTCGTTATCATTGGTATCTTCACTTTTTTCAGCCCTTCACCTTCGTCCGGATTCTCAGCCTAAATGTGATGTTTCGAGATATCAGTGAGTAGCTTTCAAAATGGTGGTCCCCAGTGCAATATCTAACACAGGTGTCCTGAAGCCGCGTCCAAGTCTGTCACCCACAATGGTCGGATACTAGTGCGAATCGGACAGCAGGCAGGTTTGGTAAGAACATTGGAAAGCCTCGATATCGATGTCTGATAAATTTCGGAGACCCTCGGTCAAGACCCCAGGGAAGTGTTTCGATTATCCTCTTCATCTCAAAGTTCGAATAGTATGTAGCACCTGTTGCAGATCAGATAATGGGGACTGTCTTCTGCAGCTTTGCATAGATCACAACCTATTTTTTGCCAGCACCAACTTCCGGCGCAGCCATCACTGTAATGCTATTTTGCGCTCTCCCTCTGCGAATCAAGCCTGAACTCAGATTGATCATATCACGGTCAGTTTCCAGTGGCGAACAGCTCCTTCTGGACTCCGACCATACGTTAGTGTGACAGGTTAATCTTGAGACTTGGCGGGGTTCATAAACAGCGTCATCTGAATGTTGGTGTGAGCAAACTGGGTTCACCTGTTACCTCTTTGAAATGTCAGACTGAATTTAAACCAACGGTTGCTAACAACTCCCCAAGCGGTATAGATGAATAATGGCTTCATCTCCAAGGTGTCCTGCAAAGGGCAATTGTAGCCGTTTGCGGCCTAAGAGAATGCTTCACTAAAAACCACTGGGTTTCTGTGCCTTCATTGCAACTCCTGGATGAACGCCAGTCTATTTCGGCTGGCAGCGAATACAACAATATGTGAAAGGCGCTTATGCGCAAGACTAGACAGTGTTCGTGTAATGACCACAAAGTCTGAAGGACAGAACGTGCTTATGCCATTGAGTTAGCTGCTGTATCTGCCAGCAGTCGGAAGCTGTTCCAGATCATCCGAGACACCGGCAGCAAGAAACAAGGTGTCAGAGTGACGGTCTAGCTCTTTTTAAAGATGGTGACGAAACTCTGGTCATGGCTTTAGCTGGATTATTCTTGAAGGTATGAGAGATCGGGGATGTACCATCAACGTGGAATGAAGTCATTAATATCCCCATCTCTAAAAAACGGTTAAGTTAGCACATGAGACAACCATAGGGGTACCAGTTTACTACCAGTTACGTGTAAAATACTGGCAGCTGTCTTGCTTCCCAGGCTGTGCAAAACACATAAGAGGTTGATTCGTGAAGAGCATGCTGCGATTCGTCCAGGTCGTGGATGCAGTGACCATGTTTTCACCCTCCGTCTGTTGCTGGAACACCATCAATCGTATTACAGGCCAATAATCGTTTTTTCTTGATATTATAGCTGCCTTTAATTCGTTGGATGGAACTGTGCTACGTAACTCTGTCAGAGAGTGGGGTACCTGAGAAATTTTTGAACATCCTGGAAGCCCAATACAGAAACACCTCAGGTAGAGTGAGTATACAACCAACAATCATCACTGTTCCCAACCAACAGTGCGATAAGACAGGGTGGCTTTTTTGGTTTCGTTTTGTTTAAATTCGAATCTTTTGTGTATAATTTACATAAGTGTAATTTCTGAGCACTATTTATCAATTTTAGAGTCCCCTGTTAACTGACATCATGTCGCCTTTTCAAGTATTTCAAAATTGCTCTGTCCACAAAGACAGGAGCTGGTAATTTTCATGTTTATTGTGACTTGAGAAAAGGGTTCATCACAAACCTGTACATCATCATAAAACGGATGCAATGGTTGCAAGAAACAATTTTATCGTATCGGGTGTTTAATTGTTTTTTTCGGAGAACAGATAGGCAAACCGGAGCTAAATGGAGTTTGTTACGTTTATCACATTAATGTACATTCTAGGTGTCATAGGCACATAATCCTGAATTCCATGTACATCAGTTTTCAGGAACTTGAATTTTTCAATTTCCAAGTCCATATAGATTTTATAATAGGAAAGGGACATATAAATTTTTGTTCTTAATTCTGTAGAAATGCATCTAGTGCATGATGGTAAGCTGCAAAATGAAGCGTAAGATTGTGAAATACTATGTCCTAACTATCCCTGGTCATACTTAACACCAGAGGCAATCAGACTACATAATTTAGATATATTCACGTGGTAGTCAAAATCCTTCCGCTGATCCACCAGCGTCAACTTTGATAAAGTCTATATGACGACAGTCATACGAATTCTTTGCTGTCTAGTGATATGGTAAAAGCTTTTAGGCTTATGATGCTGACGATTAAACAAATTTTCAGCTTTTATGTATTCATAATTTAGAACATACGCAACTATATACGGAAGAGCATCTTCATTTCCTATGCCGAAGGTTAAAACTAAAATTAATCAGCTGAGTATGGCCAAGTTTAACTTTGCTATTGTATGATTACACGTTGTACAACTGCAACTTTTAGCACAAAATTCGTTTACAGAACCAAATGGAGAAACTAAGGACTTAGCTTGTTGAAATTAAAAAAGGTAAACGAAAAATAATAATAAAAATAATATTACTTGCCAAATAAATATTATAAATTACCTGGTCAATATCCCTCGTTTTGTTCTTAGTTTTATAGCGAGCGTTGCGAATTCCCTTTCGGCCCATCAATTTCGGTAATAAAGATGTTAGTATTGTGGTATTGTATATCGTAATTCCCTGGAATTTTATGCGCTTGTACGGGGGTTACTTTATCTGGAGACAAAAAGCTTCCGTTGTATTTTCTTAGGAGAATATGTTACTTATCTACAAATATCATTTAGATTTATTGGTCTAATTAATTCAGGATTTTACATTCAACAAAACAAAAATACAATATTAATATCAGGAATAACCACATTTACGTAAACTGATTGATGTAGATGGATACTTCTAAGAATATTTCAGATCCGAATGTTATCAGATCTGTGAATGTCTGAACAGCCAACTAGAGACATACAAATACAAGTAGTACACACTACCTAGCACACATTAAAATTATCATAACTGAGTTACATTTCGTTGTTCATAATTACTGCGCATACTAGTGATGGCTGAAATTTTTATAAATTAGTTTAGTGGTTAGAAAATGTTTAAACAACTCAAAGATGCATTTCCACTGACTAAATGACAAACTGTTCACTGGAATAAAACAGTCGGGTCTTCAAGTTTACAATTTTCGACTGCTGCAATCAATACCTCAACTAAAGTTCCAAAATGCACCTTCAACTTAAGCACCAAAACTTAAGTTCGATATTTGACAAAGGAACACAAACAGCAGCTTAAAGACTTGAGAAACGACAAAGATCTAATCATTAAACGTCCAGACAAAGGTTCAGGAGTGGTCCTTATGGACAGTGGTGAGTATATCGATAAATTGACAACTCTAATCTCTAATGATAACAAATTTTCAAAACCAGACAATGAGAAGAATAAGACACAACAGATGGAACAGCAACTGGCAGATATTCTTAGGAGAATGAAGAACGACTGCCCCATAACTGATGACCAACTTGAACGTCTGAGACTAACATGATGAATTATCCCTCGACTCTACGGTCGACCAAAAGTGCACAAAGCAGGTCTGCAACTTGGACCAAATTTAGACATGGAAAGATCACCGTACAAACCAATTGCCAAATGGTTGTCCGAAATGCTAGAGCCTGTGAGACAACTTTGTAACTACTCTCTTCAAATACTTTTGAATTTATTGAGTGCGTAAGACTTGAATGTAAACGGCAAACGAATGTTATCACTCGACGCAGAATCTATATTTACGAATGTGCCGCTCACTCACACAATTTGTTTCTTTTGCAAATAAATGGATTATGAAAATCTCACTTTAAAACAATTAATTCCCTCTATCGATTTAGATAAAGCAATAAGACGTAATTTGTCTGGATCGTGTTATGTATTTGCGCAGCACATTCCGAACAATCTGATCAAACACGGACTTTTCATAGGAATATATCTTTAAATATTCCCATTTTTAATATTAGAACAAGACATATAAGCGAACAATATTATTTTCAAGTAGATCTTCAGGATTTACTCTAGTTTACATAGATTTATATTAAAAAATTTTAACCAATGACGGTGGTTTTTTGGATCAAATAATAATAATAACAATAATGTGGCAAATGTTTTGAACGTAGTTAATAACGATGATTATAATGATAACAAAATATTGATAATAAGGTTTATGCAGGTGGAGATAATAATAACAAAGGTAGTAATCTATCTATATGTAGACCATTCAATAAATAAGTTAGGTCAAATCTCAAAAGTTACGTAATACTAAAGGTGAAGTGGACAGATAATCAGACTTTAAATAAATATCATAAAAATACGAAGGAGATGGAAAATAAGAAAGGGTGGGAGGGTTTTGAATAGAATTCACCTAGGCCAAGGGAGAGACAAAGGTAGAACAAACTTCTTTTGTATGCAAAGAATAGGGCTGTTCTCTCGAATTCCCATAGCTTCGGCTATTTGTAAAAAATGGATTCGAATTCCGCTCGGAAGGCTCAATGGATTGCGATAAGTAACTTTGAAGGCACTATTTTTGTCCACTTGGTGATCTCTATCAATCGAATGAGTCAAAATAGAACTTACAGATTTTATTTCACCTTTTCCGAACCATGAAGGAAGATGCTCATTAAAATGTGTTTGTTAAGCTGTCTAATTGTTTGCCCTATATAGCTCTCTCCACAGGAGCAACTAAATTTATAGATACACATAGATGTGGCACAGCTAGGTAGCTTGTCTTTCACTTGAGCAATCATAATTGTTCAGCTGGAAAATGACAAACAAAGGGTGGCGGCAGCATAAGTCTGTTTTATCGCCCTCGATAATCTCAGATGTAAGAATTCGCTAGCCACGTACGTCCCCATTAAAATTGTAATTTCATGAACAGTTGTTTCTTTTCAACTGTTGTCAGTTTTTCTTTATTGTACTTGGTGTTCATGTGTCTCCTTACAAATCTACTAGGATAACCCATTTGGACCAGCGCATTTTGAATGTATCTTAACTCATTTTGTCTGTCTGTCTGGATTCAACATAGAACTTGGCACGAAGTGCAGCAGTTCCAGTTGCCACGTTCCAAATAGCACACAGAGGGAGACAAGAAGATGAATGAAGAGAATCAATAGTTTGACAAGTATAGGTGTGAAACAGAATGGGTAATGGTAGAAAGGAATATGAAAGATTACAGAGACTGAATACATCTGAGCTGGCCATTGACAACGATTTTGAGCCATGTCACCCATTGTCTCCAGCCATTGATTCCTAGAGTCATTTTGTAGGAAGTCATCTGTACAGATACATCTTGCTCTATTCGTGAGACATCTGACCAAATTGATTTTGTATCGGATTGGTAGAAAACTGAGGAAATGTGTACATTGTCCTACCTATGTAGGTTTTCTATAAACATCTCTCTTGAGGGGACCATCCTCTGTTCTGCCCAATTGGATGTCAAGGAAATGTAGTCTACCATCATGTTCTACTTCACAAGTGAAGATGAGCGATGGATGTGCATTTCATTCTTGTCAGCTTTCACATCAAGAATAATAAACGTATCATCAACATAACGAAAATAAGAATCAGTTTTCCCAATTACTTGTCTCAATGGACCTAAATCTAAAGTTGAATCATTTGTTTGGGTAATAAGGTTTTCAAGTTGTGCATGAGTATGATGTCTGTCAGCATTTGGGTTGCAGTCAGAAGCTTCACCCGTGGGTCCGAATTTTTGTGACATCAACCTAAATGCTGACAGATATGTACAACTTGAAAACCTTATTACCCAAATAAATGATTTAACTTTAATCTTTGGACAGGAACTACAGAGATTCAAGTCAGCAATAATCGCTTGTTGTCATTAATATCTGAATACATTCTTCCATAAATAGTTGATCCTTTTCACTCTCCATTATTTAACAGCCCATTATTCAACAACTACCCGACCGAAAGCTGCTACCTTGACGTGGTGGTCGGGCTTGAACACCGCAATGACCTATTCAAGCTATACTGGCTGAGACTTATGTCTCTTGAGGTCCTACCATGCCAGGCAGGTTGTTTGGATAGCGGTTAAACAAAAAGCAGCTACCCAATCCAACATCATGATCAATACAAAATCACAAAATTTCATGCCGGATCGGCCGTGGCCCGGATTAACAACGACCGCGCTTCCTGCTGCCGTGTCACAGGGCAGGAGTGATAAGTATGCTACTGAGGCACACCAAACAAAAGAGAACAAACAAAAACAGGCCGCGTGTGACCGGCCACAAGCAGTTGTCCCCTGGGCTCTGCGGTCACGCAACCAACTTCCACGGTGTGGGCAGCCGGGAAGTAACAATCGCCCTCACAATCCGAAACGCACGCGAAACCTCTCTATTACTCATTCATCTTTGTCTTCATCTTCATCTCTACTACCTTGCCTTCCTCCCACTGATGCAACTCCTCGACTTGATAGCTCTCCACTTCCTCTCCACTCTGCATCCACTAAAAACGATGGAAGCCAAAAAACCACCACCGACAGCCTCTTAAAGCCGCGCCACCAATTTCATACAGGAGCTTTTAATGTTAGGACACTGTGCCAAACAGGACAACAAGCATCACTAGCCAAGACCCTGGTATCCCGAGCCATTGATGTATGCTGTGTTTCAGAATCACGCATACAAGACCCAAGTGTGGTTATTCACCTAACCCCACCTGGCCAACAGGTTGAATCTGCAAAATTCACCTTGAGGGTGTCAGGAGATGCCACAGCTAGTTCACGAGGATTAGCTGGCGTAGGGATAGCTCTGAGTACTAGGGCAGAAAAGACATTGCTTGACTGGATCCCGGTAGATAGCCGAATGTGTGCTGTCCGTCTGAACGGGTCAGTAAAAAGGAGAAAGGACTGCACTACTCGCCGATGCCTTTTCGTAATCTCCGCCTACGCCCCCACTGACTGCAGTTCCGATGAAACGAAGGATGAGTTCTACCAAAAGCTGTCTAGTTTGGTGCGAAAGGCTAAACGCTCAGACATAGTCGTTCTAGCTGGTGACTTTAACGCTCAAGTAGGGAAATTGTGTCAATCTGAGAAGGATGTTATGGAGTTCCGTGCCAGCGAACCGACAACGGTGACCGTCTCCTACAGTTCTGTTCTGATAATCATTTGTTTCTTGTAAGCACTAACTTCAAACACAAGGAGAGACACTGTTTGACTTGGAGACCCCCTTCATCAAGCCAACGCTGGACACAAATAGACCACATAGCAATAAGCTATCGTTGGCGTGGGTCGGTAGGAGATTGTCGCTCCTTCTGGAACACGTGTGTAGATAGTGACCACGCACTGATCCGCGCTCGGGTGTGCTTACGACTGAACGGACGTAGTCTGTCTGGATTCAACATAGAACTTGGCACCGAAGTGCAGCAGTTCGAGTTGCCACCTTCTTTTTTTTTCAAATAGGTAGATTAGAAGATGAGTGAAGAGAATCAATACAGTCTGACAAGTATAAGAGTGAAACAGAATGGGTAATGGTAGAAAGGAATATGAAAGATTACAGAGACTGAATACATCTGCGCCATTGACAACGATTTTGATCCATGTCACCTATTGTCTCCAGCCATTGATTCCTAGAGTCCCGAGGGCCCCAACCCGGGAGTCTGCATCTCCCTACCTGACTCAGTTTAACTGTCAAGGATTTCATGGATTGATGCCATATTTTTGTTTGGCCACCACTGGCTCTTTTCCAACCTGAACCTATATCAGCTAGCAAAGCCCGTCGGGGGAGGCGGTGGTTAGGCATGCGCAGCACGTGACCTAGCCATCTTAGTCTATGTAACTTTATAGCCTCGTCGATTGATTTTCCCTCTTTGCCCAACACTCTACGCCTAACGTCAATATCACTTATCTTGTGAAACCACCTAACGTGAGACAGAGATCGCAGACATCTATGATCGAAAGCAGTCAACCTTTTCATGTCTTCAACGCGTATTGGCCATGTTTCAGAGTCATAGAGAAGGACGGAGCGAACTGATGAGCAGTACACACGTCCCTTGGTTGATAACCGGATGTCGCGCCTACGCCAGAGATGGTGTAAGTCAGCGAAAGCAGCTCGAGCTTTTTGGATCCGTGCTGAGATTTCGTCGCCAATCAGTCCGTTGGTGCTAATACAACTTCCCAAATAGGTGAAGTGGTCAACATGTTCTATCACTTCACTCCCTATCGCTAAGTTAGGGGTTGACGTGGTCCAGTCCTGTAGCAGCATCTTACATTTTGTAGGGGCGAATCGCATGCCAAACATAGGAAGATTGCTGCTCAAGGTGTTCAGAAGACTCTGCATTTTGTCAGCATCCTCCCATAACAGGACTATGTCATCTGCATACTCTAAGTCCATAAGATTATTCCCTGGTAACAAGTCGATTCCTAAGTCATTACGTTCAGTTAAGGATACTTCCATTAGCATATCTATGATGAAGTTAAACAGAAATGGGGAAAGTGGACGGACGTAGGAAACAGCTGGCGGTAAAACCATCACGTCCCCAGCTCGATCAGGAAACTAAATCCGTATTTGAGGAAGAACTAGCTAAACACATATCTGTGTTCGACAGCTGTGCTCACACTGAAGAAGCTTGGAAAAATATCCAGGCAGTCATAGATACAGCTGTAAAAGCTGTGAATAAGTTAAACCCAAAGGTGAGTAAAAGCCACTGGATCTCTACCGCCTCATCCGAACTGATAGATGCTAGACTTATTCCGGCGAGCTCCGAATTCAATGAGGAGCGAAAGCTGCATAAAAGGAAACTCACGAAAAGTCTCCGCAAGGACCGTGAACAGTGGTGGGTGACGTCTGGGAATCAGAGGAAGTCCCATCGGGTTGGTGTAAGTCACTGATTATCCCGATATACAAGAAGGGAGACAAGTCTTCCTGTGATAATCACAGAGGGATTAGCTTGACTAATATAGTATCTAAAGTCTTAGGCTCAATAATCATGCGTAGACTAAGTGGTGCTCGGGAGACAAAAACACGACAGAGCCAGGCAGGCTTTAGACCAGGAAGAGGGTGTATTGATCATATCTTTACCCTCCGACAGATTCTAGAACATAGACATTCCTACCGGCGTCCAACAGTCATTATATTTTTGACCTAAAGGCGGAATTCGACTCTGTCGATCGAGAAGTTCTCTGGAGATGCTTGGCTGTAAAGGGAATTCCGAGAAAATATATTGCACTGATTAAGGCCATCACTCTACTCGTACTCATACAGCCAGGTGAGGGCTTACGGCGAGCTGTCATCTGAACTGATGACGACCAGTGGTGTCCGTCAAGGATGCCCATTATCTCCTTTTCTATTCAACTTCATCATAGATGTGTTAATGGACTTAACCCTAGGTGACTTCAGCGACTCAGGGATTGACTTGCTACCTGGGAATAATCTCGTTGACTTGGAATATGCAGACGATATAGTCCTTCTAGGCGAAGACGCTGACGAAATGCAGAGTCTTCTAAACACCTTGAGCTGCAATCTACGAATGTTTGGCATGCGATTCGCTCCCGCCAAATGCAAGATGATGTTACAGGACTGGACTACATCGACGCCTAGTTTAAAAATAGGAAGTGAAGTGGTAGAGCACGTTGACCGCTTCACTGATTTGGGAAGTACCATCAGCCAGTGCCAACGGGCTGATCTCTGACGAAATCTCAGCACGGATACAGACGGCTCATTTCGCATTTTCCAGTTTACGCCGACTCTGGCGTAGACGAGATGTTCGACTATCGACCAAAGGGCGGGTGTACTGCTCATCAGTCCGCTCCGTCCTCCTTTATGGCCAGCTGTGAGACCTGGCCACTGAGAGTGGAAGACATGAAAAGACTAGCTGTCTTTGATCATAGGTGCCTGCGCTCTATTTCCCGTGTAAAGTGGCATAATAAGGTGAGCAACATTGAGGTTAGGCGTAGAGTTCTAGGTAAACAGGGGAAATCAATCGACGAAGTCGTGAAGTTACAAAGACTGAGATGGTTAGGACATGTGTTACGTATGCCAAGCCATCGCCTCCCTCGACGAGCAATGTTAGCGGATATAGGGTCAGGCTGGAAAAAAGCTAGCGGTGGTCAAACAAAAACTTGGCATCAGTCAATGAAATCCACAACAGTTGGTCTAAGCCACGTAGGAAGGTGTAGACTTCCAGGCTGGGGTCCTCGGGACGGTAAAAATCTATGGTTGGAAACAATTGGTGACATGGCTCAAAATCGTTCTCAGTGGCGCAGATGCATCCACTCCTTGTGACTTATGATCTCCAATGAAACTGTTTTGTTTTTCTTTATTACTCTTTTGTCTCACACCTCTGCTCACTATTTCTATTATGCTTTTCTTGTACTTTCTTCTCTTGCTTCGCGTGCTACACGGAGTGTGGCGACTTGAACTTCCGCACATTTGTGCAAAGTTCAATGTCGAAAACAGACAGACAGACAGATTTAACAGCCTATATCATTCCTAACCAATGTTACTCTTAGTTCCAATTAATCATTCCTTATCATTGTAAAAAAAGAAAGTTCAGATCGTTAATTTACTTTATAATTTTAGTATTGTTCAGATTGTAGCCAGTTTAGCAGAATCCACGAAATAAAAAAAGAATTGAGCTCAGATTATCCTGGTACATTTATCGTTCTTGCTTTATTCAAATTTATTAATAGGAAGAATTGTATGAAGGTTGTTTTTGTTTCAGTGAGCAACCCGAAATTCGCATTATACATTCGGTCAACAAGACTTGTTTCGTCGGTCATTGATATGTGCCATCTGGATAAATTGTATGTGACACAGCAATAACTGTTATCATCGTTTGACTCAGCAGCCCTATCTGCATTCGGCACAGTGGGCACTGCAATTGCAATTTACATGTTTACGTATGGTGAAAGCAGCATGTGGAGAGTCACAGAATGTAGGCTTTCTTGCTGCACTTAGGTTCGGCAATATTGGAAAATGTATTAACTAGACCTATGTATTTTAATTTTCATTAAGTATCTACCTATTTAGTCACCCTAGGGTGTGCAAAGATATGTGCAGTGGACTGGAAGTCGGCTGGACTAGGTTCACAGAGGAATATACACATCTTTATGGTTCGGAACACGTAACTTACGACGTCCATTCTTTGAAGTACTTACCCAGGGATATAGTGGTTCGTGGGGAATTAGAGCATTCCCTAGCGTTCCTACTTGAATCCCACATGAGTAACACTAGAAGACGTATAACGGTAACCTACCAGGCAGACAAGTCGTGCAGCGATTTGTCGAATAAGTTTATGCAGAAGGTACAGCTTGGCCAACTGCTTTCATTATCCTCAAATGCACAATACACGGAAATATCTAGGGTTAGGGATAGAATAAGTTTGGGTAATTTCGCACTTCACAGTGATAGTTGGTAACACTCCAGATTCCATGACAGAGATCTACGAGGATAACATGAAGCTAAGGACTTATAGGGATTTCAGTAATTTCTTCACCAAATCTTCCGATTCTATGATATTAGGTATTTTTAAATGTACCAATTCTACCCACACAACCACTAAGGTATATCCGAAAGACATAACATGTAAGTGCTTTGTAGTAGCCATGTGTCAGCATGAGGTTATCATTCCTATTCTTCATGTATTCAGGGACGACTGATACACAGCATTACTTGTTCCAACAACGCTCTTAAGATGCTCTGCCTAAATTCTCCCGGAATGTAGATTTGCACGGATGAATATTTACTAATTCAGCTTTTTCCCCTAACTTTTATTGTTCTCTATTCACTTTAAATTTCACTTGTTTATAGCAACCAACGTCGCAGGAATTTATGCTTTTAGAGCCAACCGACGGCACTGAATTAATTCTGATAACGGATGCAAGTCAATTGCCCAATGGAAGTTTACTTTACAAGAGGGCTATTGAGGATAACATCCCTAATGTCTGTTCCTCCTTAAAAGTCGAATGGGCAATAGTTTAAGGAACTGTGGTTCTCACAACCAGTATGTTGAGTGACGCTTTTTTTTTTATTAAAATCGCAGATTTTCATACTGCAAAAATGGTTAAAGAGCAGTTAAACATAGACGAAAAAATTCACAAAGCTGTTTGACGATGGGAAAGCTTCATCTATGACGGCAATATCGAAGAGGTGAACGATTGTTTTGTGTTAATTCGTTCGTAGGAAAGCGCAAATTACAGATAACAGTTTCGTCTACAACTCCTTCAACTCGGGGTTGCTGAAATCCAGGCAACCCGTCGACCAGTTAAGTACCAAAAAACTAATTTGTTCGCCCAGGAAATACCTCCAACAACAAGGTGTATATTCGTGTATATTCACTTAAAAATTACTTCACTGTTACATTTGCAGCAGTGCGCATCAAGCTTTGAAAGCTTCCACCCCAATTTCAGTTTCGGAAATACCAAAGTAGGCAATATTTTGAGATTTAATTAATCTTACAAATGCACTAACCAAGAATAGCTGGGGGAGGCATGAAGGTTACCATCAATCCCATATCAAGTGGGTGTGAAAATCTTGTGGTCTTTATGTACACTGCAAAAACAATGAGAGTTTATTAAGCCTGTTTCCGACATGAAGGCTTTAGTTCAACAGTTGGTGTCATTCAAGGAGAAGACATCTACATTTAGGGATGTAGTGAAGATGGATTTCTCAATTGATACCGAGGAAGACCTAATTCTATTCGATTATTCTTTGTAAGAATTGGAAAGAGAATTTTGTAAGCAACCGTTTAATCACTTACAATTTTTAGATTACAAATTTAGCAACTTTTTTCTCTGATGGAGCTAGAAAAACTGAGAAATATACTTAACTGCTTTATTTATACACAGCGCGATAAAGAAACCAGGAATAAAAAATTCCACTTCTTATCAATTTAGCAAAAGTAAGCACTGAGATTTCCTAGAGAGAGAATTCGATGATGAGGACGATTTCAGGACAACAATAGATACGGCTCTGCTCTCTCTGACTTGAGAGACAATTTGAAAAGGCGTCAGAGAACATTCAATAAGCCAGTACTCATTGATTGATACCGTTAATGTTACCTGTTTTTCAGCAAGTCTTTTTCACTCAATTGTTATCAATCGCATAGTCACGCTTTATGCATACTGCGTTGATTAACTATCCATTCATTATATGTTAGCAACCCTAAACGTCTTCAGATAAGAATGTAACATTATCACCGGTAAGATGTCATTTCCTATTAAGTATGTATATTATCCTTAGATAAGTGTCATTAGTTTCTGATATCCCTCCCTTACAGAACGTCATCAGTGACACTGACAGAGGGAATACAATGGGCAAACCATCTTAACGACGAAGTGCACTTTTTATGTTAGCGAAGTCTATAATGTACATATATCTATTATGATAAAAGCTAATACTTCGACATAATTTCTAAAATAACATTGCCTTTAGTTGAGTGTAATTGTGTACATACACTTTACTGAGTATGAAAATATGTATACTTTTCCAGATTCATATTCGGATTATACGGATAGAAGGCTCTTGTTGCCTCTGTTAATCCTCGAGACATATATCTCTGCAGACATCCAGTTTCTCCTTGAAAGCTTCCAACAGGGGAGCTGTTACTACTGAGTCAAGTACGGAGTTCCATTACTCATGGTGTCTTATGAGTGCGATTTGATGCTTATGTTAACAACAATTATGGCTGATTATCAAAGAAAATTATGTGAGGATATATTTTGAAGAAATTGGAGGTTTAGTTATTTTAGCGGGTAAATTTTGAGGTTCAAGGAGAAAAAGTAAGCATTTCCTAATAACGTTTGTAGTCAGTTGTCTCGAAATTGTTTCCATTTTTTTCGGAAGGCAGCCGACAGTGAAAACATTACTGACCAATGAAATGAAACTTTACTTAACCATAAATGTTAAAAGACCATCCACTAAACCCGCATTACGACGAACAACTCTATTCAAAATTTTGTGAAGACTGATTGCTCGCAGAACCCTTTGCTTTACCTTCCTAGTGCTACATTATGTGGTTCTGTGACACAAACATAGACAGAGCATGATACGTAACCATAGGACTTACTTGCATGGTGTGACAGCGTGCTGTCGTCCTGGATAGAGGATAGCGGCACAAATGGCTTATGGAGAGGCTGAGCACTTGAAGGTCACTTACGCACACTGTGATTGGTAGATTTTCCTTTGCATAAACGTTGCGGCTAATACGTGCCTTACGTTACTGAGGCGGGCTTTGAAATAACAATAATAAAAGCGGATAAACATTATATTTTTTAGCTTAAGGGAACAAGTTAACATGCTTATAAATTTCACAGATGTGAGAAGCATTAGATCCAGTAACAAGGAGAATACTACTGGGTAACTTAATCAAAGAAATATAAAGTTTGGAGATTTTATGTCTTTCAGTTAATTGTAACGGATGGGTAAGAGTCACTTGTATAATATTTGCTTTTTATAGAAGAAAAAGTGTGACAGGTGATTTGGAAGTTACATGATTCCTGAAATCTATCGTGGAATATATGGACGACTAATCTGTAGAATTTCACCAACTCTGTGGTTGTTCTTTGCCTTGTTCACATATTCACTGTGGCTAAGATTAGGAATTGTTCACCAAAGGTAAGATTAATTTACCCGATATGTATACATCCTCAGATATTTCTCAATACGGCCGAAGGCAGTCGAAGGAATATAATCTCAATCTCTGCTTGAAAAGTTCACATCCAGTTTCTGCGAACGGAACTGGTGGTGACGAAAACTGCAAAGACTGGTCCAACACCACTAACAACGGAGGCAAACTGACACAGATGTTGCGGTTAGAGTGTTTGGTGGACTTTATGATGACTACGATGCAGCTACATAAAAACTCTACAACTGTGATTTTTTCACTGGATTGCTATTAACTCTTTTTTGTGTATATATGTACTCTTTTATTATGAGTCATTTTTAATTTGATTGATTATTGTTTCCTTACAAATATATGCATTTATGTCGACTAACTTTGTCTCTTTTACTTATTATTTTGAGGACATTGCAGAGTTAACGAGAATATGATAGGCAACGTTTTAATACTTATGTGAAATGCGTCAGTCATAAACTGTTATTACTTCCTCTTCATCAAGCCTTGCGTAAAGTGTTTCAGTTGCGTATAAGATTAATATTCAAGATTGTTAAGAAGGTAGCCGTCAAATATGTGTTCGTACTGTAATAACGAAACAAAGTCTAGCAAACGTAGGTTCTATATGCAGACGACATGTATTAGTAGTCCAGGCACTTCAAGTACACAATGCGACGTGTGTCCCACTTATCACAAATACTCTGTTATTATTATGTTGCGTTTAACACCACTATCTCGAAGGGTATCATTAGGTAATAAGGAGAAAACTACATTACTCTTCTTGTGTTATCATTTCGTATCAAAAGGCTCTTACATGATCACACCAACACTTAGACTCGTGCATTAGTTGACTACGTCACTAAACTTCGTTGATTATTTTGCTATCATGAAATACTGTGACGCATTAAATAGGCCTTTGTTGTGCATATCGCCTGTTTAAGATTTACTAGCGAAAGCGATAACAGTACCCCCATCGTGACGAAATTCAGCAACGTGTGAATATGCCATTTTACGAATATTACGTCTTCTACATTGGCATCACTTTGCAACTCGACAAACACTAAGTATTATTAGTGTACGAATATGGAGCAAAATTTGTAAAACAATATTTATTTCGATAAATACATTATTAATATCACAAAAATTCCATCATTTACACAAATATTATCGTTTTTAACCCAATTAGAATGTCTAAATGTATTGAGTGATTGCGGGATTGAAGACCATAATCTGGAAATTAAAAATGACAAACATTCAGTCAAGATGTGATGAGTTAAATAAATAACATATAATACAGTACGTACTAGTTAAATGACTATCTCTTCACCGTTATCTGACGAAATAACCAACTCAATTTCCTTTATTTCTGAGCAATTTGGTAAAAATCATGAAATTATAATTACCTCGATATTTAACCCTTTTCTCATCATATACGTAAAATAAACTTCAAAATTTGTAATTATTTAGCATTTTCTATCATAATTGACATTTTCCAATGAATTGTTTCATTTCTTATGCATCTCGGGATGTCAATTCGATGAAAAAACAGCATTTCGTCAACACAATGAAAACGATTACTTTTCTCACTTTTTACACGTTTTTTCGTTAAAATATGATTTTTAAAATGCATTTCTGTCGAAAAAACCACTAAAAACAACGTAGAATAGCCTAAACACAACACCACGATAACACCTTAAAACTGCAGCAATCAGCTGATTTGTGCCTCTATCCTATCCCCGTCCTGTGAGATAGGATAGCGGCACAAATGGCTTATGGAGAGGCTGAGCACTTCAAGGTCACTTATGCACGCTGTGATTGGTAGATTTTCCTTTGCATAAACGTTGCGGCTAATACGTGCCTTACGTTACTGTAGCGGGCTTTGAAATACCAATAATAAAAGCGGATAGACATTATATTTTTTAGCTTAAGGGACCAAGTTAACATGCTTATAAATTTCACAGATGTGAGAAGCATTAGATCCACTTACAAGGAGAATGCTACTGGGTAACTTGATCAAAGAAATATAAAGTTTGAGGATTTTATCTCTCTCAGTTAATTGTAACGGATGGATAAGAGTCACGTGTATAATATTTGCTTTTTATAGAAGAGAAAATGTGACAGGTGGTTTGGAAGTTACACAATTCCTGAAATATATCGTGGAATATATGGACGAGTAATCTATAGAATTTCACCAACTCTGGTTGTTCCTTGCTTTGTTCACATATTCAGTGTTGCTAAGATTAGGAATTGTTCACAAGAGGTAAGATTAATTTACCTGATATGTATATATCCTCAGAATTTTCTCAATATGGCTGAATGCATTCGAAGGAATACAATCTCAATCTCTGCTTGAAAAGTTCATATCTAGTTTCTGCGAACGGATCTGGTGATGACGAAAACTGCAAAGACTGGTCCAACACCACTAACAACGGAAGCAAACGGATACAAATGTTGTGGATAGAGTGTTTGGTGGACTTAATGATGACTATGATGCAGCTACAAAAAAACTCTACAACTGTGATTTTTTCACTGGATTGCTATTAACTCTCTTTAGTGTAGATATGTACTCTTTCATTCTGAGTCATTTTTAACTTGATTGATTATTGTTTCCTTACAAATATATGCATTTATGTTGACTAACATTGTCTCTTTCACTTATCATTTGGACGACATTGCAGAGCTAACGAGAATATGGTAGGCAACGTATTAATACTTATGTGAAATGCGTCAGTCTTAAAATATTACTATTTCCTCATCAAGCCTTGCGTAAAGTGTTTCAGTTGCGTATAATATTGGTATTCGCGATTGTTAAGAAAGTAGCCGTCAAACATGTTTTCGCACTGTAATAACGAAACATAACCTAGCAAATATGGGTTCTATACGTACACGACTTGTAGTGGTAGTCTAGGCACTTCATGCGCACTATGCAACGTATATCCTATTTATCACGAATAGTCTGCTATTCTTATGTTGCGTTTAACATTACTACCTCAAAGGAAATCGTTGCGTAATAAAGAGATAACTACATTACTCTTCTTGTGCTATCATTTCGTATTAATAGGCTCTTACATGATCACATTAACTCTCAGACTCGTGCATTAGCTGATTACGTCACTAAATTTGATTGATTACTTTGTTATCATAAAATACTGTAACGCATTAGATAGGCTTTTGTTGTGCATATCGCCTGTTTGAGGTTTACTAGCGAAAGCGATAACAGTACCCCCATCGTGTCTAAATTCAACCAGGTGTAAATATGGCACTTTACCAATATTATATCTTCTACACTAGCATCACTTTGCAACTTGACAAACAGTAAGTATTATTAGTGTACGAATAAGGTGCAAAATTTTTAAAACAATATTTATTTCGACAAATACATTCATAATATCACAAATATTTCATCAATTACACAAATATTATCCTTTTTAACCCCACTGGAATGTCTAAATGTATTGAGTGATTGCGGAATTGAAGACCATAACCTGGAAATTAAAAATGACAAAAATTCAGTCAGGAAATGATGGGCGAAATAAATAACTTGAAACACAGTACCTACCAGTTAAATGACTGTTTATTCACCGTTATCTGACGAAATTACCAACTCAGTTTCCTTTATTACTGTGAAATTTTGTAAACATAATGAAATCATAATTACCTAGATATTTAACTCTCTCCTAATCATTTACGTAAAATACACTGAAACAATTGGAGTTATTTTGCATTTTATATCATAATTGACATTTTCCAACAAATTCTGACATTTCTTATGCACCTCAGTATGTCAATTCCATAAAAAGCGAGCATTTTGTAAACACATTGAAAAAGACCACTTTTCTCACTTTTTACACGTTTTTTCGTTAAAATGCGATTTTTAAAGTCCATTTCTGTCGAAAGAAATACTAAAAACAACGTAGAATAGCCCAAACACAGCGCCACGATAACGCCTTAAAACTGCAGAAATCAGCTGATTTGTGCCTCTATCCTATCCCCGTCCTGTGAGATAGGATAGCGGCACAAATGGCTTATGGAGAGGCTGAGCACTTCAAGGTCACTTATGCACGCTGTGATTGGTAGATTTTCCTTTGCATAAACGTTGCGGCTAATACGTGCCTTACGTTACTGTAGCGGGCTTTGAAATAGCAATAATAAAAGCGGATAGACATTATATTTTTTAGCTTAAGGGACCAAGTTAACATGCTTATAAATTTCACAGATGTGAGAAGCATTAGATCCACTTACAAGGAGAATGCTACTGGGTAACTTGATCAAAGAAATATAAAGTTTGAGGATTTTATCTCTCTCAGTTAATTGTAACGGATGGATAAGAGTCACGTGTATAATATTTGCTTTTTATAGAAGAGAAAATGTGACAGGTGGTTTGGAAGTTACACAATTCCTGAAATATATCGTGGAATATATGGACGAGTAATCTATAGAATTTCACCAACTCTGGTTGTTCCTTGCTTTGTTCACATATTCAGTGTTGCTAAGATTAGGAATTGTTCACAAGAGGTAAGATTAATTTACCTGATATGTATATATCCTCAGAATTTTCTCATTATGGCTGAATGCATTCGAAGGAATACAATCTCAATCTCTGCTTGAAAAGTTCATATCTAGTTTCTGCGAACGGATCTGGTGATGACGAAAACTGCA